GAAAATTAATGTTCTCTTTTTCTGTACACATTACATATCTATGTGTGTGTGTGTGTGCAGGTATGTATATAAAAATGAGAATATGATTGTATGTGTGTGCAGATATGTATTTGAAAGTGTGTACATGATTGTGTGTGTGAGTGTATGTGAATGTATGTATATGAAAGTGTGTACATAATTGTGTGTGTGTATGTATGTGTGTGTGTGTAGTCCAAAAGTCAACCATGGGTGTTGTTTCTCAGGAGCATCAGCCTTGTTTTTTGAGATGGTCCCTCACTGGGACCTGGGCTCAATAATTAGACTAGGCTGACTGGTCAGCATGCCCCAGGGTTCTGCTGTCTCCATCTCACTGACACTTGGTTCACAGGCAAGTGCCATCATGTTCCCTTTTTGCCCTGGGTGCTGAGGATCAAATTTAGGTCCTCACTGTTGAGCAGCATGCACCTTACTAACTGAGCCAACTTACCTGATAGAACGTTTATTTCTTACAAGACCCTTACTGCACAAGATCTTTTTTTTTTTTTTTAAAAAAAATTACTTTGGTTTTGTTTCCTGCCCTTTAAAGCTATAGTTTACACTGAGTTTTGAATGATGAACCATTTTATATTCCTGACAAACACTACTTGCTTGTAAAATAATTACTTTTTAAATGTATTTTACAAAAGGTTTGCTAACATTTTCCTGGGGGTTTTGTGTTTACTGTCAGGCAAGCTACTCGCGAGCCTTTATCAGGAGCTCTGCTTTCCCTTCTCACTTCTGACATCATATGCCTGACAAAATCAACACAACACAGGAAAAGTTTATTTTTGGCTTACAGTTTGAGGGTACAGTCCTTCATGGTGAGGAAGTCACAGCAGCAGTTGTGTGAGTCAGTTGGTCACATTGCCTCCTCAGTAAGGAGGGAGAGGGTGCTGTATGCAGCTGCCCAGCCCCCGTTTGCCCTTTGATTCAGGCTGAGATGCCAGCCCATAGGACATCGTTATCTCAAAGGCACCACCCACTATAGTATGCATCATCTTACCTCAATTCATCTAACGTGGAAAATGCCTCACAGGCTTGCCCAGAGATTTTGTTTCCATGTGAGTCTAAGTCCTACAAATAGACAATCAAGATCCAGCTTCATGCTAGGTATTTATTAAAAGACTGTACTATTTTCTTTGATTTTTAGATATCATGATCAGGAAGTAGAGATGAGCAGACAGCTACGGCTTGCACGGGGCTCCCTTGTCAGTTTCTTGCACTCAGACTTCCAGTCCTCCCCTGTCACTTGTCCAGCAGTTGCATTATTCATATACTGCAGTTTTGATAGGACAATAGGGCATCTGGTTTAGCACATGTCAGTCATGGTGGGCCTTGATCTCTGTAAAGATTTCACGAAAAAAAAAAAAAGATTTCACGATTATTCTGATATGCAGCATTTTTTTTCTCTCTTGACAATGCTGGACTCTTTTTATATTCCTTCTGTATCACATCTATTACTTGAGTTTATTTATTCCCTTATTTACTCATTACATGTAGTTACCAATCTAAGGCCTATCACATGGTGCCAGTCAAAGCAGTCAATGCAGAGTCAAGAAGATATGGGAGTTGCTTTATCTACTCTAGATGAACTTCAAAAGTGGCTTTTAGGACATTGAGCCTATAATTCGGGTTCTTAGAAAAGCTAAATAAGAAGGAGAACCCAAAGAAAAACATATAGGCATCCTCCTGAACATTAACCTTCATCAGGCGATGAAAGGAGACAAGAGACAGAGACAGAGACCCACATTGGAGCACCGGACTGAAATCTCAAGGTCCAAATCAGGAGCAGAAGGAGAGAGAGCACGAG